TTTAGTGCTGTCTTTGCCTGGTTTTGGTATCAAGGTTATGCTTGCTTCATAAAATGAATTTGGGAAGAGTCCATCTGTTTCTGCGTTCTGGAATAGTTTGAGTCGCATTGGTGTCAGTTCTTCTCTGACTGTTCGGTAGAATTCACCAATGAAACCTTCTGGGCCAGGGCTTTTTTTTCATTGGTAATTTTCTTATCACCTGTTCAGTTTCTTCATTTGTTAGAGGTCTGTTCAAATTTTTCACCTCAGCCTCTGTTAGTTTAGGTAGTAGTGTGTTTCTAGAAATCTGTCCATTTCTTCTAGATTTTCAAATTTGTTGGACTACAGTTCTTCATAGTATCCTGATATTATCCTTTTAGTTTCTGTTGATTCTGTGTGGTGTCAGCCAGTTCATTTCTTATTCATGTTATTTGTATTCTCTCCTTCTTTTTCTTTGTTAAATTTGCCAGTGGTTTGTTGATTTTATTACTCTTTTCAAAGAACCAACTCTTAGTCTTGTTGATTTTTTCTATTGTCTTTCTATTTTCTGTTTCATTGATTTTTGCTCAAATCTTTATTTCTTTTCTTCTGGTGACTGAAGGCTTTTCTTGCTGTTCTTTTTCTAATTGTTGAAGATACTGTTTTAAGTTCTTGATTTTGGCTTGCTCTTCTTTTTTGATATGTACATTTATTGCTTTAACTTGGCCCCTGATCACTGCTTTTCTGTGTCCCACAGATTTTGTTACATTGTGTTTTCATTCTTGTTTGATTCAAGGAAATTTTTAATAGTAATTTCTTTTTCTTCTATTCCTCAGTCATTTTCATGGAGGGTGTTATTCAGTTTCCATGTGTTTGCTCTTTTTCTGTTTATCTTCCTATTGTTGATTTCTAATTTTACAATATTGTGATCTGAGAAGATACTTTGCAGTATTTCAATGTTTTTTTAAATTTATTGAGGCTTGCTTTGTGGCCTAATGTACGGTCTATCCTAGAGAATATTCCATGTGCCCTGGAAAAGAATTTATATGATGCTTTTGTTGGGTGAAGTGCTCCGTAGATATCTATAAGGTCAAGTTGGTGGATTGTGTTGTTTAGTTCTTCTGTGTCTTTGTTGAGTTTTTCTTTCCAGTTCTATCTTTCATTGAAAGTGGTATATTAAAGTCTCCTACTATTACTGTGGAGTCATCTATTTGTCTTTTCAGTTCTATTGGAGTCTGGTTTATGTATTTTGGGGCTCTTTTATTGGCTACATAGATATTTATTATTGTTATGTCTTCTTGTTCTATCCTTTAATCATTATATAATATCCTTTCTTGTCTCATATGGTGGCTTTTGTCTTAAAGTCAGTTTGATCAGAGATTATTATTGCCACTCTTTCTCTTTTGTGGCTGCCATTTGCTTGGTATATCTCTTTCCAACCTTTGATTTTTGGTCTGTTTTTTTCTTTGTGTCTAAGGTGTGTCTCTTGTTGACAGCATATTGATGGGCTATGTTTTCTTATCCATTCTCCAACTATCTGTCTCTTGGATGGTGCATTTAATCCATTGACATTCAGTGTAATTCATGACAAGTATGAATTGGTTGCTATCATTTTGTTATATGATTTTTCATGGTGTTACAGATATCTTTGCTCGATATAATTTTCTGTACTAAGCCTGTTTTGTTTGTGAATCATGTTATCATTTTCTTCATTTCTGTTGTTTTAGAATATGCTAAATATTTTTGTTTGTCCTCTTTTTTATTTTGATGTGAAGGTTTGTCATTTTCTTTAAGGTTACCCAGTAATTTATAATTTTCTTCCCACATTTGTAATGGTCTGTTCTATCTTGCAGTTGTCTTGACGTCCCTTCCATTTAGAAATTCTGTAACGACACAATTTTTTCCCTCTTTTTGGTTTGTAATGTCCTCATTTTTCAATTGTAGTCTCTGGTTCCCTATTTACAGTCTTGTAGGCTTATTTACTTTGGATACTTCCATAGCTGGGTTGGTTTCTGGATTATGTCATCATGTGTGTTAATGGTCAGTTGTTTGCTGTTGTTGGTTCTCTGTCCAAAGGGCTCCTTTTAGCATCTCTTGTAAGATTGGTCTGGTTTTAACAAACTCCCTTAATTTCTGCTTCTTTGGAAATGTCCTAATTTCACTATCATATTTGAAGGACAGTGTATATAATTCTTGATTGGAAATTTTTTTCTTTCAGGGTTTTATATATACCATTCCATTGTCTTCTCACCTGTATGGTTTCTGCCAAGAAATCTGAGCTTAATCTTATTCATTGCCCCTTGTAGGTAACTTTTCGTTTTTCCTGTGCTGCTTTCAGGATTCTTTCTTTTTGTTTGGTTTTAGTGAATGTGATGATGATATATCTTGGTGGTTTACTTTTGGGGTCTATTCTGTTTGGAATCCGTTGGACTTCCTGAATGGATATATTCTCTCATCTTTCATCATACCAGGGAAATTCTCTTCCAACAAATCTTTAATGATTTTCTCTGGTTTTATTTGTCTCTTCCTGTTCTGGAATTCTGATAACTCGTAGTTTATTCCATTTGATCGTATTCCACCTGAACTTTAGGCTTTCTTCATTTTGTTTTGATATTTTTTCTGATTGATCTCTTTCCCAAGAAGTATTGAGGTATTTGTCTTCAATCTCACTAATTCTGTCTTCCATTGATTCAATTCTATTCCTTTGTCCTTTCAATGTGTTGCCTATTTCTGAAAATTTAGTATTAGTCTTCCGGATTTCTATTTGTAGATTTTGTATCATTTCTTATTTTTCATTTATTTTGTCATTTTGTTCTGTATGGTCTTCCGAAATTGTTCCAGGGTTTTGTCTGTGTTTTCCTCAATTTTGTCAGTGTTTCCATGATATGTCTCTCAATCCATTGAAGGTACCTAAATATAATTGTTTTGAATTCCTTATCGGGGAGTTCTAGTGCTGCTGCTTTCTCAAGGATGTGTTTTGGGTCTGTATCCTGGTCTCTTGTTTCTCCACCTTTATCTTACTTCTTTGTGTGAACTGTGATAGCCTTTTGTCTCCAAGACATTGTGACGTTTTTGTGTTTATATTTAATTGGTGATTGTATGTTGGAGTGATTTGCCCAAGATTTTCGTTATGTTTGTTTTGTTTGGATGTTATCTAAGTAAGCAGTGTACTGTGCTCCTCTGTTCGCTAGTTGGCAGCACTTATATACTCACCACCTGTCTCCTACCCATTGTCAGCCTTCTTATGTCCCTGCCATCCTTGGTAAGTGGAGCCTACTCGTAGGTCCTGTTTTCATTGAGGTTCTTCCCCTAGTTGGTGCCTAATCTACTTCTGTATACTTTCTTTCAAGGCTCAGGGCTCTAGTATTATCTTCTGTATCTCTGTCAATTGGTTTCTGTTTTCTTTGTCGAAGAGGGTCTGTGTATCTTGTCTGCCTGTTCTGCCATCTTACCCAAATTCCCCAGCATTGACATTTTTGAGAGGATATAGGTTCATTCTTTATAAGAATGAGTTTTGATTTCTGTTTTTCTGATGTAAGAGTCAGGTGATACACTTTTGGCAGGAATAACAACACAGCATGACGACAAGTTCTTAGTGCGTTATGTCAAGAGGCACATGCTGCTGGTTTGCCTTATTCCTGGCAGTGATAGCTTCAGTTATTTGGTTAGGTGACATCTGTCACTTTAAAGTTACTATTCATCTTTGAAATTAAAAATATATTACAGCAAGGTATATTGAGACTATGTAATTGTCCTATTACTCTTCATTGTTTCACCTGCTGCCATCAAATGTGATCGTTGTGAAAGAAACAAAGGTGACATATAAGGAATCCAGTATATGTGTCTGCTAAACTCACATTTTTAGAAGATTGGAAGGTAGAAGAAAGACACTGTAACATGAGTTGAATACGGAAGTTAATGATAAACCTATAAAAATAGTATTATGGGGACTAAATAAAAAATAGAATGTACAATGTGAAAAATGTTTAAGAGAGTTCTCTATCTTCTAATCTCCCTCCCCCCAAAAAAAAGAATATTAAAAAAAGAAAAAAAAATAGCTAGCCAGACCAAAATAGTGAGAGGAAATTATGTCACGTAGGAAGTGGCTAGAGGTGATGAGCAGATTTAACTTGAAGATAACTATGTGAAAACCAAACTCATTGTCTTCAGTTATTTTAAAGATTGGCAAGTAGAATACCATATGGAATCAGTGTAGGTTGGTTCAGAGGGAAGTTAGAGATTTAGGTTTTCATTTATTTTTAAAATTTTCTTGGAGTTGGTACTAAACTTGGTGTGCCCAAAGGTATATACCTGAAGGCTGGATGGACATCTGCCAGAGATTTGTATGTTAATGTGAAGTTGCTTTTCCAAGTAGCCTCAAAAAGCCTTATTTCTTTAAGATTATGTTTGTAAGTCTGCAAATACTAGATATTTATCCTGGTAGGGAAGGTACAGGTGATTTCATATTCTCAGTCTCATAGCAATTAGATATCTAAAATAATGAGAGAGAAGATCAGTAATGGTATAGTTGAGCTTAACAGCATGATAAATTAGCTGGACCTAATTGACATTTATAGAATACTTTGTCTGACAACACAATACACACATATCGTAAGATCATAAAGAAAATTCATCAAGATAGACCACATCCTGGGCCATAAAACATGACTTAACATATTAAAAAAAATGAAAAGCATGCAAGTTATGCTCTCAGACCACAATGCTATTAACTTAGAAATCAATAACAGAAAGATAACTAGAAAATTCAGAAGAGTTGGGAATTAAAAACCACTTCTGAGTAACACAGGAATCAAAGAAGAAGTCTCAAGAGAAATTTAAAAGAGATTTTAAACTGAATGAAAATTAAAATAACACTGAGGTCAAAGTTGTATACTCTTTTTCTTAGCTCTTGTTTTTATTTGTGTACTTTTAAAATGATAGCCATGAAAAATGTTATATGCATAATTAAGGTTTCTGTTTTGACCCAAGATCTTAAAAATCCTTTTATTAAAAAATTTCTTTTTATATTTCTTTTCTCTTAGGTAACTCTGTTCCACAGGATATCTGCTGTATGGCCGCAGATGGGAGGCTGGTCTTTGCTGCATATGGGAATGTTTTTTCTGCATTTGCCCGTAATAAAGAGGTTAGTATCACTGAACTATTTTCATTTGTTTGTCTTATCCATTCAGTACTTGATTGTCATGATAGTGGAGAAAACTTAAATGTTGTTGTTCTTCACCTGGATACCCTTAAAAATCTGCAGAGTACTGCATATGTATATTCTGTTTTCTGGAGGGAGAGAATTTTATCAAATTCTCAAAAAACGCATAGTTTAAAACTTTAGTTTAATTTCAGTTTTCTTTACTGGAGATAAATGTCAGAATTATTTGTGCTGTTGCTTCAAAATTTTCATGCCCAGTCAGGTCCCATCTCTGGAGCTTTTTGCTTTGTAGATTTGATGAGGTAGGACTCAGACATGGTCATTTGAAAAATCTTCCTGCCAGATTTGTATTTTCAACACTGCTTTATGTGGCTTGGCTTCTTTTTTCTGCGCAACTCAGTTCATGACTCTAAGCACCTGGTGCTTGCTGCCTATTTGAAGAACTGTAGACTGTCCTATTTTCTCCACTGCTACAGAAGGATCTTTTCTGGTCTGAATCTACCACTTGGTTCTTAAGTTTGTTTTGGACAGCTAACTAGGAGGTGACCTGGGTGTAGTGGTTCAGGAATGAAAGCCGAACTAGCAGTGGATGCCTAGCTAGCCAAGTGATGCCATCACTGTGCTTGTCAGAGTTTGACTTAGAGTAAAGTGTGTTCCCAGAGCCCACCATCATCACTATTTATGGCAGAGTAAGGTGACTTATCTGTGGAATTCTTAAATTACAGTGTTTGGATTTTAAGAGTTAGGAAAACTATTAGTATTTCAGCCACATATTGCAGTTTTTCCTGGGCTATTTAGATTTTTCACTGTGGTAGAAATATATCAGAAAATCAGTTCTTAGTCCTGTCTTTTAGTGTGATCCCGACAGGAGATACAACGTACCCCAGATGGTTTTGATGAGGAGATTTTAATGAAGGAACTATTTTGTGACAGGTATTAATAGTCAGGGAAGGGGAACAAAGGAGGAGTGGTGAAACATCAGAAACTATCATATGTGGGAAGCTATTAACCACTCCTAGGGCCAAAGGACAAGGAGAAGAAACAGTGTTACTAGAGCCTGCAGAGAACTGAATGAATGGAGAAGGGGCTATAGTTATAGAGGGGTGCATTGACTTTACAGGTACAAGTCTCTGCCTCAAAACAGAAAGGTATGGGGAAGAAGTGCCCTGACACCCTCATCGCCCATGTTACCTGGAAGCCAGATGGTTGGGGAGCCACTAGTGAGGCAGTCTCTAGAGAGCTTCCTAGAGAAGACCACTTTTCAAGGATACATGGAGTTACGCTGGCTGAATTGGATAAGGGACCTGGCTGGGTTTGCATGCCTTCTCACTATCCTCAAACCCAGAAATTAAGGGAGCAGGTAAACATGCCTGGTTACTTGCTATTTGTTAAACCTTGGGTGATCAAGTTGACTGCATTTCTTAGTATTAGCATCTACAGAATCAGCATGCTTTTTGGCTACTATGAATGTTACGTGGTGAGCAAGTAATGATATAAAATTTATAAACTTTAATTTGTAGGTAGTACATACCTTTACGGGTCATAAGGCAGAAATCCGTCTTTTGCAGCCCTTTGGGGATCACATTATCTCTGTTGATACTGACAGCATTCTTATTATTTGGCATATATATTCAGAAGGTAAGAATTAAGTATTTTATTTATGTTATCTTGGGACAATATATTGGTTGGTAGTTTTGGTTGCTATGTGCCATCGAGTCGAACCCTACTCATAGCAACCCCTCCTTGGGTTTCCGAGGCAGTATCACTATGGAAGTGGATTGCCCCATCTTCCTTCCAAGGAGTGGCGGTGGGTTTCAACCGCCAGCGTTCTGGTTAGCAGTCAGGTGCCTTAGGCACTATGCTACCAGAGCCCCTAGGACAGGTAGATAAAATTTTAAATCTTATGTGAACATTATGCCAGAGGCTTCTCATGTTAAAAGAAAAAAAAAAAATTAGACTCTTTAACATGTGTGAGGAAATAGATAGGTGAGCTAATTACTTATAACCTGTTTAATATGTTTATCTCCGTAATTCATTTCCCATTGCAGTTTCCCCAAGTTTGGTGACTTTCCTCTTTGGAGTGAATGTTGATAATATGTTTATACTTGAATAATTCTTGACTTACATTTTCAACTTGTAATAAAGAAAATTTATTTGTAAACTTGAAGATTCTGTAATATGTAAAATACACAGCTTTTTTCTGAGAACATGAGTTAGTGACCTTTCTCTGCCTATTCACTCGGATATGTGTATGGCACTGAGCTATGTTTATAGGACTATAGATCTTTAAGTTAGGAGTTTATTACCAGAACATCCCTAGTTTTCCTTAATAATAGGCTGCAGGTCTAGCATAAATTAGGACTTAAGTTCATCTTTAATCTGTTTACATTGTTAGCTTATATCACTTCTTGATTAACTCATGTTTGAGTATGTAATCTAATTTTTAGTAAAAGTCATAGTAACTATCTTTCTATGAGTTATTCCATGTCCTTATTCTAATTAGTCACTCTTTCCCTTGTTTTATCTTTGTTCAAGTATAGTGAAAAGAATTCCAAATGTGTTCCCTGTGTGGATGAATGCCTTTTAAAAAGTTAACAAATACAGTTCTTCTAATAGG